CATATACGGGTCAGTGGTGCATTGTGGGTACTCTATTATGGCGGTTATTTTACCGGAAGTCGTTTATTTATTTATTTGGATTAAAATATTTTCTTTGTTTTTATTTAATTTTATTTTTTGTTTCTTATTTTATTTATGTATTTATTTACTTATCTTTTAATCGGTGTTTTTTTTTATTAACGTAGTAAAAATTTGTTTATATCAATTATTTAATAGTTTTGTTTTGTTTTGATAATTTAATTAAAGCTATTTGTTCGGTTTTGGGGTTGGTTGTTGTAGATTATTATAACTATTCTTTTGGCAGAAACAGTTTTTAATTTGTGTTTTTTGGGTTGATTATATTTATTTGTTTTTTCTGACGTTAACTTTATCGGGATTGGTTTGTTTATTTATTTACTTTGATGAATTTAGGTCAATTTATTTTACTTGTATATTTTCTCTTTTCGGTTTTCGATTTTTACGTAGCATAGTATTTATTTATTTATTTTTATTTTATTTTATTTTTATTTTATTTTATTTATTTATGGTTATATAACAGTTATAGCTATTTTTTTCGTCCGATTTTTAGTCTAACTAATATTTTAGTCATAATGGTTTGCTACTTTGTTTATTATTTACTTTATTTATTTGGGTTCGTTGTTTTTGTTTTGTTTTTTTGTTATTATTATTATTATTATTATTATTATTATTATTATTATTATTATTCTCTTTCGTCTATTCTAACAGGTGTGATTTGGTAATTTGTTTGGATTAATTAATTTTGCTTATTTTATATTTACACACGCTCTATCTCTGATACTGAGCACTTTATCCCATAAATATAGCACACCTTAAGACTATATTTCTTCATATATATATATATATGCTATTTTTAGTGGATACCCATATTTGAGTAAATTCTCCATTTATTTTAAACACTATTTTATTTCGTCTACCGGTCCGGACATTCGAGAAATTTTATTAATGAAAATGCACCCTTCGGCAGGATTCGAAACAACGCTCCCGCTTCTTTGCAAGTTTTTGGAGATATGCATTGACTGCCCACTATCATTTCTTTGTTTAACTTTCTATTTTTCTTTTTCCGACCAGGATGGTGTATCATCTTGCAAGTCTGACACATAAAATAAAATACCTTGAGCTGTCAGCCGTAACGTGTAAGTAAACTGGTTTTTCCATTTGTCTTGGTTGGGTGGTTAATGACTAAACATCTTCACGTGCGTGCTCTCTCTCACTCACACACACACACACACACAAAAATAATATAATCGATCTAAAATATAATACTCCTTGAGTATATTCTCTGTAATTTTTGCTGTACAAGGTTTTATCTCATTTGAACTGGTGCCAGTGTCTTTGTAATGATAATGGCGAATTGTTCAAAGCTGTTTCAGAAGCCGGGAGATAAAAAGACCGCATCTGTAAAACTGGAAAAAAGATCTGGCTTCTGTTCTCTCTAAATTCTACAATAAATGCCGTGTGGCCCTTTTACTTTCCTGCTTACTGGAAATCCTCTTTTCCGTAGTTCCAGTATTTAAGAACTCAGGAGAACAGTATGATCCTTCTAACCTATATCGACCAATTACCCTTCTACCTCTTTTTAACAAAGTACTAGAGGCGCTAATCAATTCTGAATTAGCTAAACACCTCACATTACAAGGTAAGCAAGGTTTCAGATAAGCAATATGGCTTTCGCTTCTCTAGATCTACTGCCGATATATTAACGATTACTATTGAAAAAGTCTGTCAAACTTTAGATAATGATGGTGATGCGCGGATTAGAAGTTTGGATAACACGAAGGCATTTGACAGAATTTGGCACGATGGCTTTCATCACAAGATGAAAGTTCATGGTATTTCAGAGCACATTTTTGATCTGATTTAATCTTTCTTATCAAATCGCGAATTGAATGTTATCTTGAACGGCAACTCTTCCAGATCTTTTTGCTTTAATGCAGGTGGCCTCAGTGCTGTATTGTTGGACCTATGTTGTTCGTAATGTTCATCAAGGACTATCCTGATATAATCAGTTCTCATCTCACTATCAATACTGATGAGACAGTTATTTACTCCTGTCTTAATGAAAAATTCGACCTGTTCGATAAGGTCAAATTGGCAGCTAAGATCAAAAGTAACCAATCATCTGTTGTCAACTGAGTCAAGAAAGGGTCAGTTAATTTTAATGCCCCCAAAACAAAACTACTTTTTAATCGTCTGAGAGAAACTTTTTCTTTTTTAACTTCCATCGGAATTACTGATGCTAACCTTCGTGAGATTAACTCGTTACGGATTATTGGATTAAGATTTTCCACTGATATGAAGTAGAAAGATTATAGTAAATCCATTGTTAGATCTGCTGCTATTAACATTGGTTTCCTGTGTTGTGGTAGACAATTTTACTAACCAAAATCTGTCTTATGCATTTATAGGTCTACTATTCCCCCATGCATAGAATATTGCTGTCATAATTTTGTGGTGTCCTCCCTCTAAAGCGTCTATGTTGGACTCTTCCGCCTACTATAAGATAAGATGTTGTGATCAAGTAAATGGTTAAAGAAAAAAAACAAGTGTTACAGATATATCATATATTGATAGTAAGTACAACAGAAGAATATTACACGGCTAATGAGTGTGTGTCGGTTGATCCAGCGTTCGACTGTTGATATTTACCAGCCTCCCCACTAGGTAGGATGTGGCACAAGGCCAAGATTTATGTGGGTCGGGTCCGTAGGCTCGGCCAAAAATTCCCCATAGACCCCATATAAAACAGGGTCGGGTAGCTGTTTTCCGAGACGAGCCTCTGCCCATCGACATAGCCTCGTCTGGGCATCCTCTCTGCCCGGAGGCAGAGAGTTTGACCAGCATAGCTGGAACAGATCTATTCGACTGTTAATATTTAACAGCACCCACCCATGAGGGATGTATGTGGCACAAGGCCAAGTTTACCATGGGTTCTCCGAGCCCGTAGGCACGACCAAAATATTCCCGTAGAACCCGCATAAACGGGTTCAGGGTCTGTCTACCTCCTCGTCTGGGTTCCTCTCTACTCGAGGCAGAGAGTTCGACAGTTGAACAATCAGGTCGACTGTTCCCCCAAGGCGTTCTCTCCTACTAATCTTATAGTAGTCGGAAGAGTCCAACATAGACTCTTTAGAGGGAGGACACCACGACACATATCTAGTCTGATACTTATGTTATGCATTTAAAGATTCTTGATAAAATATAAAGAAGAATATTAATGGTCCTGAACTGGTATCTCGGCTTCAGTCACTTTCTCACAAGCGTTACGTAGTTTTCCTGCGCTTTTCCATAAATATTCTTATAGTTCTCATGAGCTTTCCTCTTTCGTGCCTAGACTTTATGAATTTAAACTACTAGATTGTCTGTTAGGTCTCATCATTTTACAGTTGAAATAGCTAGACGTAACCGTATGCTAACAGTTTTCTCTGACACACTTCTCGCTTGTGGAACTCTCTTGCAGCCTCTTGCTTTCCAGTAAGCTTTGTACTTCAAAAATTTAAATGCAATGTCAATTGTTATCTTTTATCTTCTTAATCCATGTTCTTTTGATTTACAGTCATATCACATTGAAACAGCTGTTCCAGTACGATCACTGAAGTTAAGCAACGTCGAGCCTCGTCAATACCTAGATGGGTGACCACTTGGAAATGCCAGATGTGTAAATTTGGATGTGCTGGTGCTGTAATTTATAATGACTGGGAATTTTTAATCGGAGAGTCGAATTCCAATTCCAGTTATGTTCGTTCACCTAAATAGCCTAAGGAAAGGAATCCATATCTTCCCCCTCCAGCTATGAGTTAATTAGTAAAACTAAAGAGTTTGACCAATGTTATACACACACACACATATATATATTTAGTACAGGTAATAAATCCATTGGTATATAATCCTAGTAGATCTTAGTAATAAAAAATGTGTGTGTGCGTGTGTGTGTTTTTGCTTGGTTAATGCCCACCATTTCTCGCTATCAACATTGAAATGAAACAGATTCCATGGCACGGACGAGATTAAGGTGCACGCGACAAAACAGCTATTGACGATCCCGAACAAGACTTTGCAGACCGTTTTGAAAAGTCGAAAGGACATTGGAATAGCTAAGGAAGATTTCAGAATGAGAAAATAATTTTGAATTAGAAAATGAATTTGAAGGAGACTAATTCACTTATTACATTTTTCATTTCATATTTGCGATGCCCCTTCAAGACATGAGCGATCATCGCTTTCCACAAAGTCCTATTCTTTATAGCTCTAAAGAATGTCTGTCGCCTCACTTCAATGTTTTCTTTCTTTTTTTTCTTCCTATTTTACTGTTTTATTTATTTACTTATCTATTTAGGCCCCCTATGTATAAATAAGAAAATTTTCCATGACAAAACTACCTAAAATGTGATCCATATATATATATATATATATATATATATATATATATATATATACTACTACTACTACTATATATATATATATATATATATATATATATATATATATATATATATATATATATATTATTCTTTTCGGTCCTGTATTTATGAATTTAGCTAAGTTAATATATTACTATTCATGGAAATATATTGTGACAATTTTTGATGAATAAAACTTTTTTTATTAATGTATTTGTGGGTTTCATCTTCAATTTACTACACTTTTAATGAATATTTCAACTTATGACTTAATGTACATTGAGGTTGCCTGTTTACTTATTCTTTTCAACGATACAACAATATTTTACATAACTGTAACTAAATTTTTTTTATTGGGGCGTTTAAACACATGGGTGGGCTACTTTTTTTTCGGAAATCCTAGCTAACTAACGCAGAGTTAAATACAAATTTAAAATGTCTATCTTCAGGACGACAAATCTTTTAAACATTTATTAATTACCCCAGTCCTATAAATAGATATTTTTATAAGCTGTTTTTATTCAACAGAAAGAAGTCAGCAGTCACATACAATTCAGCACAACTCTAAGCAGGTAGCTCACCATGAAGTTTTCTCAGGTAAGTTTTTCTCATAATAACAAATAACCCTCGATAAAATGTCACCGAAATTACACGATTTTTATTTTCATTACATTTTATGATCTCTTAATTTTGATTTGATTTTATCTTCAATCTGTTCTCCAAAATTCGTGGAGATAAATTGACATTTCTTTTATTATATAAACATTCATTTAGGCTTCTACGAAAATAACTGTATTTGACTATGTACGGATATGTAGGTACATTAATGTAAGATAATCTGATAATATTGTGTATCATTGCTTTACCGTATATATATATATATATATATATATATATATATATATATATATATATTCATACATGTTTCATTAAATAATATAGACAATTGTTGTCTATTTATTTTATGTCTGATAAACTTAATAACATTATCATTAAACGTTATTAAAAAATTTACATAAAATAGACAGCACTTGTCTATATTATTTAATGAAACATGTATGAATGAAAAAAATCTGCCTAAATACACTCAATATATATATATATATATATATATATATATATATATATATATATATATATATATATATATATATATATAAAAACTATGATATATAATATTATTTCCTCAATCCTTCCTATTCTCAGTCTTTCTCTCATTTCCAGATCCTGTAACCCCCCCCTGCATATAAATGGTAATTTTCTCTTGCTTCAAGCGAAATGAATATATATATATATATATATATATATATATATATATATATATATATATATAAATCATTTCGCTTGAAGCAAGAGAAAATGCCACTTATATGAAGAGGACTCTATAAATGAGAAAAAGACTGGGAATAGGGAGGATTGAGTAAAGGACAAAAGATTAATGGGATTCAAGAAGACAATCGATGGAGATTGATGCTACACTTAAATTTTTGAAAATTGTATTTATCATGGAAGCAATTGAACGGAAGGGATTTCCACAGGTTTGAAGTGCGAGAAAAGAAACTGTTGGAATAGAAGTGGCGGTTGCATTTAGATATTTTAACACTAAACCGGTGGGACCTAGATGCCAATCTATTAGCACGCTTAAATTCGGACAAGCCTGGGCAGCATGGGAAAAAGCTCGTCAGAGCAGTTACCATGAAAATATTTGTAGAAAAGACAGAGGGAAGCCACGTCACGTCGGTGTGAAAGTGATTGAAGTTGAGATACCAAGTCAGGATCGATTACATTACAGATCCTTCTTTGGATTTTGTCAAGGAGCTAGAGATGAATAGTAGGAGCACCAGACCAGATACGGCAGAAGTATTCAATGCACGGGCGAATGGTAGATTTACAAATGTGTAAGATGGACTCTGACGAGAAAATTATATATATATATATATATATATTCGAGTCGTGCTAATACCCTTTAAAGGTATGAATCCTCTTTTTCTCCCTCCAGCTATGGGTAAATTTCAGGACAGATTGGGTTCTATGGCCTTGGATGACAACTGGTCAAGGACCGGTAGACGAAATAAAATAGTGTTTAAAATAAATGGAGAATTTACTCAAATATGGGTATCCGCTAAAAATAGCATATGTATATGTATATATATATATATATATATATATATATATATATATGAAGAAATATAGTCTTAAGGTGTGCTATATTTATGGGATAAAGTGCTCAATATCAGAGATAGAGCGTGTGTAAATATAAAATAAGAAAAATTAATTAATCCAAACAAATTACCAAATCACACCTGTTAGAATAGACGAAATAGAATAATAATAATAATAATAATAATAATAACAAAAAACAAAACAAAAACAAAGTAGCAAACCATTATGACCAAAATATTAGTTAGACTAAAAAAACGGACGAAAAAAATTGCTATAACTGTTATATAACCATAAATAAATAAAATAAAATAAAATAAAAAATAAAATAAAAATAAATAAATAAATACTACGTTACGTAAAAATCGAAAACCGAAAAGAGAAACTATGCAAGTAAAATAAATTGACAAATTCATCAAAGTAAATAAATAAACAAACCAATCCCTATAAAGTTAACGTCAGAAAAAACAAATAAATATAATCAACCCAAATAAACACAAATTAAAAACTGTTTCTGCCAAAAGAATAGTTATAATAAACTACAACAACCAACCCCAAAACCGAACAAATAGATTTAACTAAATTCTCAAACCAAAACAAAACTATTAAATAATTGATATAAACACATTTTTACTACGTTAATAAAAAAAACACCAATTAAAAGATAAGTAAATAAATAAATAAAATAAGAAACAAAAAATAAAATTAAATAAAAACAAAGAAAGTAATTTAATCCAAATAAATAAATAAACAACTTCCGGTAAAATAACCACCATAATAGAGTACCCACAATGCACCACTGACCCGTATATGTATAAATAGCCGAGAAAAATAACAGCACACGTGGCCTGACGATTGCATATAGCATGAAACAGACTGTCGCCTCTAAGTGTTGACTTCTATGTTCACTTTTATATATATATATATATATATATATATATATATATATATATAATTATTTTCTTTTAAAAATATTTTATTATAAAAATATGATTCTATCGCGACACATCTTTCTATTATTGCCATTAAGCTAATAATAATAAGTGTCACATGTGATGACGAAATGTTCCCTCCCACATCCAGTGTAAAATATAAATACAGTGGGACCTCGGTCACGAATTTAATTCGTAACCCGAAATGTTCGTAAACGGAAACTATTTTTCCAACAGGAATCAATGTAGAGAAAAATAAGTCATAGTACAATAAAAATGGAAAAGAAAAGCACAACGCGACAAATGAATATATATTCAACACGGGGGTCGACTCACAAATGATTCCGTTCGGGTTAACTCGGTTCTGCAATGTTGTTTGAGAACCGAAATTTTGTTCGATAACCGAGGCATATTTATCTCGAATTTTCTGTTCGGAAACAGACTTGTTCGACATGCAATACTTTCGAGAACCGATGTTGCTCTGTATATTTTATTCTGTGTGTATACATATATTTTGAAAAATAAATAAATAAATAAATAAATAGGAATATGAAATTCTCCATGAATTTTGTATCATCCTCTTTTAATTTTTAATTATAAATTGTAAGTTTGAACCTAAATTTAATTTTAGATTATAGTACAATTAAATATTTAATAATAGTAATCAACTCATCAATGATCTTCCTGGCGTCATCAGTTCTCAAGTCGGCATCTACGCAACGACATTACCATTTACTCCAGTCTGCATAGTAAATCCGGCATTACTGGCCGTTGGTTTCGAAAACGACCTCCAATCTGTGGTTGACTGGGGCAGGAAACGATCTGTGAATTTTAATGCATCCAAAACAAAAAACTGCTATCATATTCTCACCACAGAGAAACGTCCTTGACTCTTATCGGCATGGTTGATGCTCAACTCCACGAGAGAGCCTCATTGCGCCTTCTTGGTCTCACGTTCTCTATTGACCTGAGGTGGAACAACTGCATTGAATCAATAGCTGCAACTACTGCAAGGAATGTTGGTTCCCTGTGTCACGCCAGAAGGATTTTCTCGTCTGTGTCTATCCTTCACATCTAAAAATCTACAATTCGTCCATGCATAAAATACTGTTGATTTTTGAGGAACACCAGCGTTCGTATGGAAAGAACTGGAAGAGAACCCGTTCAGGACATCTTTCATTTCACAGTTAGACAAGAATGATTAGATTAAATCAAGTAAGCGCCCTGTAATAATGTATCCCTGAAGCTTACGTAAAAGGCCGGCATGCCAAACCCTGTCAAAAACCTCCGATATATCTAGAGTAACAGCTCGAGCTTCGCCATTATTATCAACAGCTTGGTATACATATTCAGTTATCGCCGTAAGCACATCAGCAAAAAGTCAGCCACTTGCGTGAAGGATTGAGTGATTGAAAAGTTAAGGGTTTGGATGCTAGCGATGTCAGTCAAAGACTGTTTAAGCTACATGGCATGGTGGGCGTTAAAGACACCGAACACGAATATGTTTGCAAACGGATGTAGAGAAATGGCTTTGTCTATATTATCAGAAATGCTATTGAGTACACAACAGCCTTGCGAGGAGGTGGGACGTTAGAGGAAGAAGAAATAGCTTTCTGAATTGAGTAGAGATAGACAGAGATACATATACGAATAGTCTGGAGATTCCAAAGAGAGTTCTCTCGCCAGCGGAAGATGGTCGCGGACATAAGCTCTCAGGCCATTTTAGAGTCCTTTCTAAGGAGAGGAAGATAGCCAGCAATTGAGAAATCAGAAGAAGAGATAGACGAATTAAGGTTACATTATTTACATTATTCGGACTATTGTCCTCATCTTTGCTGCCATATTGTGATAAATATGGCGACAAAGATGAGGACAATAGTCCGAATAATGTAAATAATGTACATAATACCTCATCTCAGAAATATAGACAGAAATGTCATTCATGATGCTCCAAGGGTTTTCGATTGGGTTCAAATCCGGAGAATTTGCTGGCCACTTCATTTTTCGAGGTCCATCGAAGTCTGACTGTTTCAAATATTCAGTAGTCTTGTGAGCATCATGTGATGGAGCATTATCTTGCATAAAAACAATGGCCCTTTTGAAGTCAACTCTTTGCCTTTTCATTCACGGTTCAAGGTGCTTCTTCATAAACGCTATGTATGCATCAGCAGTCATTTTGACGCCATCTGGTACTCTCCATGGGCCCACTAATATTTTTTCCAATAATACCAACCCAGATCATTATGCCTCTACTGCCTTATTGGCGTCTCAAACGCTGATGGCGATTCTGTCCATTCATTACCCACGCTTTGCACCATCTATCTGGCCCATCAAGTGTTGCTCGAGTTTCGTCTGTGAACAAAACTTTAGAGAAGTCAATCTTCATATTGTCCTCGGCCCATTTCAATCGATTTTGAATGTGATTTCTCGTCAACGGAGGCTTCGATACAGGTTTGACTGTTGCTGCTATTTCCCTCAGATACCGACACCGAGTACTTTTGGACA